AACACACGTCAGGATGAACACACGTCAGGATGAACACACGTCAGGATGAACACACGTCAGGATGAACACACGTCAGAATGAACACACGTCAGAATGAAAACACGTCAGGATGAACACACGTCAGGATGAACACATGTCAGGATGAACACACGTCAGGATGAACACATGTCAGGATGAACACATGTCAGGAGTAACACATGTCAGAATGAACATGTCAGAATAAACACATGTCAGGATGAACACACGTCAGAATGAACACGTCAGGATGAACACGTCAGGATGAACACATGTCAGCATGAACACATGTCAGGAGTAACACATGTCAGAATGAACATGTCAGAATAAACACATGTCAGGATGAACACACGTCAGAATGAACACGTCAGGATGAACACGTCAGGATGAACACATGTCAGGATGAACACACGTCAGAATGAACACGTCAGGATGAACACGTCAGGATGAACACATGTCAGGATGAACACATGAGTCCTCGTGGTCGTATCGGTTTGTTTTTTTTCAGGCGGAGCAACAATAGCTCTCCTCTCCTGAGGACGCCGCCTCATCATTCCCTCTCTCAGAGACATTAAAGCTTTTCTGAATGGAGCGTGACTCGTCTCTCTTCACATCGCCTGTCACCATGGCGACAGAGCAGCATCAATGACGAGCCGCCTCTTCTCTCTATATTTACTCTGTTGCTGTGGCGACGCTCCAGACAGCCAGCAAGGCCCAAGGAGAGCAAAGTTCTGGGATCCAAAACCATCAAGTCCTGTCCAGTTTCAATAAACATGAGGTTAAAGGTCCGTTTGAGTCTCAGGTGGAGAAGTAGGGGTGTCAGGTGGGTCAGGACCCCCCAATCAATCATTTAATGAAACTCAACCTTACAGCAATACCCAGACTATAAAGCACATCCACCATTTATCGGTAAAACAATGATTTTATGCCTTCTGGAGTGAGGCCCCGCCCCTTCATCAGACTGACAGCAGTTAGGTCCAATGAGACATCAGAAGTGTTTGTTTACATGTTTGTTGAAGCCCGGTTGTTTACCTTGGGGTTGAGGACCAGCTGCTGCTCGTTGTGGTGCAGCAGAACCACAGAGTTGGACTCAGAGTTGTTGACGAAGACCTGCAGGCAGGGGTAGAGGGACGTCCCCTTACAGTCCGCCCCGCAGGTGAACACACACTCAAACATCTCCTCAGGACGCAGGACCGACACCACCTGAGGAGGAAACAGGTGGAGGTAACCTCTGATAGACAAACAAACACACAAACACACAGACAGACAGACAAACAAACACACAAACAAACAAACAAACAGACAGACAGACAGACACAAACATCTCCTCAGGACGAAGGACCGACACCACCTGAGGAGGAAACAGGTGGAGGTAACCTCTGATAGACAAACA